CAAATAATACAATGACACTGTCTCTCACTGCAGGATAATTGATATATTATTGAACATAAGGTATTTGGGCATACACACCATGCTATACCATAGTTCTGATCCGGGACTGATCTGAACAAATCAAACTGACACGAACCAAATATTTAGCCGCAAAGGGAATATGAAGAAAATATATATATTTGGAAAGATATATAGTGATAGTTTAAGACGTGGGAATTATTGCGAGATAAGGATGTGCTTATATATATATAGAAGGATCTAATAGAAACAAATGGGAGTTGTGAAGGAATGATGGTGACATGAATTTTTTTAGTAGTGCAAAGGAGAATTACGAACAAAAGTCCTTACCGGACAAAAGTAAAAAGTTGAGAACTTTATTATGATGTCTCTAAAAAAATTGCAATAAAAAATAAAATTAATGAGATATTTATAGATTAAGACTAAACTGGATACACATAATAAAAGGAGTAGAAAACGGAACTAAAATATCTAAATACACCCAAGTACCCTAGCTAGTCTTGAGGAAGAATAAATCTTACTGAAAAATCCTTGGTCCAATATGGACCATGTTAACTCGCGGAAGCATTATTTCCAACAATAAATCTAAATATTTCTTTCTACATGTTCAATGGAAGACTTTAATGTGTTCTTAATTGTTGGGGTGGAAATTCAAGTCCAACGTTAGAAGATTTGAAGAAAATCTAACACCTTATAAATCTCACATGAACTCCATTAGTACGAGGTCTTTTGGAAGAATTCTAAAAACAAATTTGTGCGGTTTTAGCCCAAAGCGATCAATATTATAATAGTGTTGAGTTGGTCCAGTCCCAACAGTGGTATCAGAGCTCCGTTTGTTGGTGAAGTGGATTGGATGGTATTGGGCATTGGTTGTAATGGTGGAAAGCCCTCGCCTTTATTGACCTCATGATTCGAATCTGCAGTGTGGCTTAGGTGGCCCAAAGTGTGCAGATCAATGGAATATCATTGGAGGAGAGGCCCATTTGTTGGTCATTGGTTTGAGAGAAGAATTGTTTCGGTGCAAACTCAAATCCCACATTAAAAGATGTGAAAAAAATTCCACACCTTATAAAGCCCCATATGAACTCCACTAGTATATGACCTTTTAGAGAAAGTCCAAAAACAAATCCGTGCATGCTCAACCTACAGGGACAACATTAATTCATATAATTTTTTGATATAACTCTTAAAAATAAATACGATAATGGAACTCTTGACAGGATATTCGAAAAAATCGAGTGTCTAATATAATTGTAATTCATAGCAAGTGTTAATGTTAAAGCATCCAAGGGCATAAATAGTGTGTGCACGGGTTATCTACTTCATCAATGAAGTGCCAAATTACATTAAACTTGAGATTTTAAAATTATTTTGGCTTCAAATAATAGAGATCACTGTTGGAAGTTTAATTGATTAACATATTCGAAATCAAATTCAAGCCTCGTATTGCATGCAAATTCCTTGAAACAAATTCAGTCCGTCACAAATTGCTTTCCATGATAGAAAAAATTTAACAAAATAACATATTTTGCAAACCAAATTAGGAAAACAAAATTTTCATAGGAAGAAGAATTTGCAAAAGATTTGGATAGGAATATAAAAGGATTTTTAAGGTCACTGCGTATGAATCAGAGAAAAAAATAAATTGAGAAATTAATCAATGGGGGAGATTTTATGCAGAGTTGTTGTATATCTTTCGTGAAGAGGAATTTGAATTTTTATGTTATGATTTTATGTAGGGTTGTTGTATAGAATAGAAATTTTAATTTTAATTAACATAAAAATCGTGATCATCCCCCACTTTATTTTGCATGTTGCAATTAGTTGCAACAACATTCTTTTTATCCAAATTATCTGATGTTTAATAAGTCAAACATATTTAAAATCAGATTAATACAAAAAATTAAATTATTAGATTTTAGTGTATTGGGCTCGGCCCAGCTCCCAAAATCCAAGGCCCAATCTTAATTTATAGATATGGGCATAATATAAGTTCAATCCAATCTATATCCCAAAAATAAAATTATTATTATTGAGTACAAACTTTGATAAATTGTTCCTATTTCTCAAATGGGATACAACCTTCCAAATTCTCCTTATTCCTCTTACTAACAAACACAACATTTTTTTTTATTTTATAAGTTTATATATTTTTTAAATATGTTTGGTTATCACTATTATACTAATTTGACTAAATTAGTAAGTTTTTATAAAAAAAAAATAATATATATTAATATAATATATAATAAGTATTTTAATAGTAAATTATACTTCCTCCGTCCCTTGTCAATTTATCTATTTTCCATTTTATTTTGTTCCATAATAAAGTATCTATTTTTTTTTTTTGGTAATTGTACCGTCTACCTAACATTACAAATATCCTTCCAATTTACAATATATTACACAATTGTCATTATCTTTATATCATATAATACTAATATGGTTAATTTAATCTTTTTATCTTTATTTCTACTTTATCTCAATATAATAGTTATATTTCTAAAACTACGTGCAAAAAGCAAATGAATATATAGATATGAGACGGAGGGAGTATAATTATACAATAGTAAAGTATAAATTTGATTTTAGCACAATATATTTGACTCAATCAACAAATATTTACAAATAAATTAGCACATATTAATATAACATATAACAAATATTTGAATAGTAAATTATATAATTAATATAGCAAAATATAAATTTTGATTTCAGTACAATAAATTTTTATTTTAGCACTATAGTAGAATAAACAAATTATATAACCCAACAAAATATATTAAACACCGTTAAATGATAATACAATATGTAGCATTACACAATATATGTTGATTTTAGCACCAAATATACATATTTCTATAACACAATACATGTTATTTCTCTTATAATAATTTCCTATAAATTTCAAATTAATATGCTGATTTGATAATGTGTTATATATCTTGCGATGATTTTTTAATTATTTCAAATTAATCTGTCAACTTGGTCAAAATCAACATGATTCTAATTTGTCCAAATGAACATCCTAACTGCGCTTGCTTTGTATTTAGTTTGTTTTTATAATAATGATGCAACATTTTTATGTGGGTATATATATATATATATAAATATATTAAAATTGTATAGTAATAAATACTACATTCGTCCCATCTAAATTGAACCCTTTGATTAAAGATACGGTACTTAAGTTAAGAATATTTAATTAGTTAATAATAATTAGTTATAATATTATCATATTATTTTTTTTTAATTAATAATATTTATAGTTTTAAAATAAATTTAATATATATAATTAAAAAAATTAAAATATTTAAATATTTAATAATTATATAGCAATTACAAAATATATGCAATATGGATATCATTTTATAAAGAATAAAATTTTCTATTATACCAAGTAAATAAAAAAAATTGTTTATTTATAATTAATATAAATCAATTTTATAAAAGATGTGTAGTTTTAAATATAGATAAAAATAATTATTTTTTTAGGAAAGAGATAAAAATAAATGGGTTTTGAGTGGTCCTACGTCATTTATCATGTTGTATGTTATGTAGTTAATTAAGTTGATTTATGTTTGTTAAATATGTTTTGTTTTAATAATTTTTACCAAACATATAAATGTGTCAATTGTAACAGGACAGATAAAAATGGAAATAGTGTCAATTGTGCTGGGACGGAGGGAGTAGAAAATTAAATTTTTGCCAAAATAACATATTCTTGGTGTTTAAAGTGATATTTTTTTAGAAAAATTGATAGTTTGAATAATAATAATAAATAAAATGCAAACAGAACAAAAAATGTTAATATTATAGATAAGTGGCAACTTTTATTATCTTGTACTTTTATATGTAAATTTAAAATATTTGGATTCGATATGAATATTAGAAAAAATGAATATTTTATTAAAAAAAATAATAAATGTAAAAATATAGTTGAAAGTATTTTTGAAAACTTAATTATAAATTAAAGAAAATAAGGAGGAAAAATATAATAAAGATATTGACATTTATTGTAAATAAGTATTGAAATGAGATTAATGGTTAAATATTGAAATGATTGACTTTGCTAAAATTAGTAATAGAATAAATTTAACTGACAAATTTTAAAAAAAAAATAAAAATAAATTTGAAGGATGAGGAAGAGAGTATTTGTTATATTGTTCTAAATATCTTGTATTTTTATTTGCTACTCTTAAATAATGCTTCTTGTGTCACTTTGGAATACATAATTGAGCATTTCAATCGAGTCTATTTAAACCATCAAATGACAAATTTTTTTAAACAAAACTAAAAATAAATGAATGACAGACATTTATCTACTACTATATTTCACCTAAACAGTATTACTTCCGTTCCAAACACCTGCAATATTTTTTTTTTGTTTGTCTTAAATTCACTGCAATATTTAAAAATTTAGAAATAATTAATAAATATTTGTATACATATATTAATATACATTTCACTTTATCTCATCACACCACTCAAATAAAAAAAAATAAATAATCATTTCTCTCTCCAATCACATCACTTAATATCCAAATTATCTCAAATTAGTATATTTAATACTTCCCACCTAAATTTCCGTACCAAACACAAATGTTGCACGATGTTTGGGATGGAGAGAGTACAATTATTATGCTTTTATAAGTTTCAAATCTAAACTAATGGTATATATTTATCTGCATTGCATTAAATATCTATCACGCAGGAATTCTAACTATATATCTATACACTCCTTCTCTCGCTAAAATTTATGCTCATTTTTTTTTTGTGATCGAAAAATATTTTTGTTTAATTTTTTTAAATAAAAAATCATTACACTTTTGTATTTTGTTTTACTATAAAATTAAAAAAAACAATTATTATTCACTTTTATTAAAATTTGTGCTCGATTAAATAAGTACATATTTGCATCACAGAGGAAGTATGACTTATATAAGTCGTGGTACGTGGGAGAAAAATAAAAAATGAGAATATATATATATATATATATATATAGAAAATAATTAGAAATGTATAACAAGAAACATAACCAAATTCTCGTGACCAAATACAAATTCAGTCATACCTCAATTAATGCTTAAAATCAAAAGTCTTTGAAAAATCAACTCTCATAATTCAACCAACCAACTATTCCAATCCGACGTTTTTCAACACATCTTGGAAGAAGTCCTCTTGCGACGTCCACGACGACCCGCCTTCCTCCAAAACCTCTCGGCTCTTCCTCTGCATCTCCTTCACTTTCCCCCTCACGCCGCCCTCCGCCGCCATCACCCGCCGGATCGCAGCCTCGATATCCCCCGCCGGGACGATCTCCGGCGCCGGCTCCTGCCTAGTCACATCTAACTTGTAATCAATCTTGATCTCTTCCGCCATCCCCAATGTCCTCACCAGCTCGAACGCATTTAGCTGCTGCTCCGCGTACAGCGGCAGCGCCGCCACCGGAACGCCGTGCCATACGCTCTCCAGCACCGAGTTCCACCCGCAGTGCGACACGAAACCCCCCACAGCCGGGTGCGCCAGCACCGCCGCCTGAGGGGCCCACCCGAGGACCCGCCCCCGTCCCGCCGTCCGCTCCAAAAAACCCTCCGGCAGAACCTCGCCGTAGTCTCCGTACTCGGCTGGCAGCAACGACGACGTCGGCTTCCGCAGCGACCACACGAACCTGCTTCCAGAATCTTCCAGAGCCTTGGCGAATTCCTTAACCTGAGCTCCATCGAATGCCCCCATCGTCCCGAAGCACAGGAACACCACCGACTCCTCCGGCTGATCGTCCAGCCACGTCATCAAATCGGCCACCGACGGATCGCCGGAGACGGCAATGTCCTTCAACATCGGTCCGATCGGGTAAATCTTGGGATAGTTGTTGTAATGAGCGGACAGCGAATCGACGGCGTATGATTCGAGTTCGTAGAAGGTGTTGATGAGAACTCCTTTGGCGCCGGCGAATTTCCGGAAGAATTCGACCATGATTTCTCCGATAGGGCTGCCGTCGATCAAAAACAGGGGAATTAATTTGGCGGGAATAGGGTGAGAGGCGCATCGTGAGGACAACTGCTTAGTGTCGGAATGCATGTATTGTGTCATGTCCTGATTTTGGTCGAATTTGAGTGAAATTATGTCGTAAAAGACGCCAAAACTGAATGCTCCCGAAGTGTAGTAAACGTAGGAAGGAATGCTCAATTCTTTCCCTACCTGTTTCATCAAGTATATACATTAATCAAAATATAATAGGGTTAGCACATCTCCAATCGATTTTTCATCTTTTTTTTTCTTTCAATTTTTCCTCTAAATTTGAACTCCACTTTAATTTATTATTATTATTATTATTATTTTCTCTAAAAATAATATTACATACGTATTTCTTTTTTTAACTAATTACATGATCTTGAACTTTTATATATTAATCTCAATTAAATCATACCAAATCGATAGTTTTTAAAGTAATAATAATAATAATAAAAGTTTCAGAGGCGGAAGGAGTGAGTAATAAATATTAATTATTATATCAAAATCTAGTATAAATTAAAAAAAAAAAATTTACAAAAATACTTTTATTAAATAAATATGAGTTTTTAGAGGCGGTTTAATTATTGTTGCTTTCCAAAAATATAAATGGAGAAATTTTCCATTTATGGGGGAAATTATGACATGGGATCGTTAGTTCCAAACAGAGCGTGTCATACATACGTGTTTGTATGTGACAATGGAAAAGGGCAGACGATCCTGTGCAATTTTCATATCATTTTATTTTTCATTCACTTCATAGCAAATTATTTTTTTTTCATTTTTAATAAATTTATTTATTTTAAATATATATACTTAATAAATATAATTCAATTTAATTTAATTCATAACTAGATTTACTTAAAAAAATTTATTTATATATCTCTAAAATAAATAGATATTTTTTATTTATATTCAAAATTTTTTATTTCTAAAACTTTAGCAAAAAAACAAATGAATATATATAGATATGGAAGGAAAGGAATATTTTTTTTATAAAACTAGTTTAATTAATTATAAATAAATAAATATTATCTACAAAATAATATTATATTATATATTGAGTATTATTTAGATATAATGCTAAAAATATTTAAAAACATATTTATTTTATTTTAACTATAGGTATTAATTCATATTTTTAAAATAACAACAACATTGGTCATATAAAAAAATAATAAAATAATATCATAATTTATTATTAATAATTTAATAATCTATACTACTTAAATAATTGTTCTCGGAATAAACTGGTAATCTTTTCGGGACGGAGGGAGTCATTTATATTTTTTTAAAATTTTATATTAAATATTTATTACTCCCTACGTCCCAACTAAAATATCCACTTTAGCGGGACACTGAGTTTTATGTATTATTTAATTAATAAATAATTAAAAGTATACTGATATAAATAGTTATGATATAATAAAAATAATTATACATGAAAATTAAAATAACTAAATAGGTTAATTAAAAAAATATAAATTATAAAATATGATTAAAATATATAATTATATTTTTTAAAAAATGACAAATTATATCGAACGGAACAAAATAAAAAAAGTTGACAAATTATGTGGAACGAGAGAGTATTATTTTAAAATATTATAATCCCTCCATTCCGGATTTTATGTATTTATTACTATAAATACAAAAATTTAGAATAAATATAATCAGTAAATCATAAAAAAAATTATTAGTAAAAAAAAAAAAAAATTGTATATTTTTGTGATATCTATTGTTATATACTCCCTCATCCCCAACTCAAATACTCCCTCATCCCCAACTCAAAGTATCTTCTTTTACTATTTTTATTTGTCCAACTCAAGAGTCTATCTTTTTTATTTTTAAAAAAAATAATAATACCCTAATACTAAAATACTATTCTCTCCGTCCCGGAACTAAATATTTATTTGCTTTTTGAACGTAGCTTTAGCAATATTAGTATTATATTGGGATATAATAGGAATAAAGTATAAATGACTAAAATAACCTTATTAGTATGTGTGATATAAAGATAATGGCATTTGTGTAATATATTGTAAGTTGTAAAGGTATTTGTAATGTTAGGTATATAGTACCACTACAAAAAAAATAGTATATTTGCAACGGAATTTCGTTCCTAAAGTTCACGTAGCTAATGTAATTTCATCTCTAATTCCGTCTCTAATATCATTAGTAACGGAAAAAGTGGATTTAAGAACGAAAAAATCTCGTTACAAAATTGATATTTTTTTGTAGTGTACAGTTACTAAAAAAAATAGATACTTTGTTATGGGACGGACTAAAATGGAAAAATGGATACTTTGTTATGGGACGGACTAAAATGAAAAAATGGATACTTTGTTATGGGACGGAGGGAGTATTAATTTTACTTAAATTACAAATATATCGTTACTCATACAATTACTTTTTACATAAAATTAAAGATAAAAATATCAAAATTTTTTGCACACCTCTACTAACCAATAAAATACTATTATCTTTTAATTTATTATAAAACTCTAAATAACTCATTTGGATTGAGACGCAAGTAATATATAGTATATTATATGTTATATAATTTTATCTTTTTAAATAATATTTTGGCAAATCATGTAACTTTACAAAAATTAAGTAAACATATTCAAAATTTGTGCATATGATATACTCTCTCCTTCCTAAATAATTGGTATGTTATTTTAGTGATACAGTATTTAAAGAAATAAAATTTAGTAAAATAATGATAATATATAATAATAATATTATTTTTTATAAGAGTGATGTTGTTTGTATTTTAAAAATAAAAATTAATATATATAATTTTAAAAATTTTAGAATATATTTAAGCACTATATTTCAATAAAAATATGTACAACATTGCATTATATAGCAAATATTTATTTATTTATTTATAATTAAAATAAATTAATTTTATAAAAAAATCTAAGAGTTTTACATGTGAGTCAAAATATTTATTTATTGAAGAAAAATAAAAATAAATAAATTTTGAGTGAATCCTAATATCAATTTGATTAAGTATTTATATTTATTAAATATATTTAATATTGATATATTTATTAAAAATAAAAATTTAAAACTATTATGGCATACACTAAAATAAAAAAAAAAATGTTGCAATTGTTATAAAACAGATGAAAGGGAGTATATATTTAAAAAGGAACATTTTTATTGTGATAATTTTTTTTTATTTTTTTATTTTATTGATATCATATATAAATAATATGTTTATTTTTTAATGTAGGTAAGTAAAGGTAGTGTGTTCACTCCACTACATATTTCCAATAAATATTATAAATAATATAATTAAATATTTAATATAAAATATTATTTTTTATACATAATATAAAAAAGTAATACTCCGTCCGTCCACTTACAATGTTTATATATTTGGGACGTCCAATTACAAAGTTAACATTTCATTAAATACCTTTTTTTTTTTTTACTTTACATCACATCGTTACTTTTACACAAAAAAGCAAGGGCAAAAATGTCATTACACTATTTTTAACTACTCATTATAATTAAAATACTATTATTTCTTAAACATCACGCCAAAAGTAAATGTAAACCTTGTAAATGGACGGAGGGAGTATTAATTAAAAAATACTCCCTCCGTCCAGTTATAAAGTATACATATTTCTATTTTGGGACGTCCAATTACAAAGTAACCATTTCATTAAATACCCCACTTTTTTCACAAATACCCTTATTTTACATCACATCTTTACTTTTATACCAAAAGGCAAAGGCAAAAATGTCATTACACTATTTTTACCTACCCACTATAATTAAAATATTATTATTTTTTAAACTTCGTGCCAAAAATAAATGTATACTTTATCCGTGGACGGAGGGAATATAAAACAAACTAATAACGTATTTATTAATCCACGCTGATAATTAAAATAACAGTGTTAATTATAAAATTAATATCTCATGCTTCGATTAAGGTGCATAAAAGAATAGTCAACGTTAGGAATTAAAATAATAGCTCCCATAAATACAATGAGTTTGTTTGATTAATATTTTAATTTCAATTTTTTTTTTCGTCGCCAACTAATACTCTCTCCTTCAGATCCAATACAATAGTCTTGTTTATCATTTTTGTTCGTCCTAAAATAATAGTCTTATTTTTATAAATAATCATATCACCGTAAAATTATTCTTACTTTTTTATTATTATTACACAATTGTCATTATTTTTTACGCTAATATACTCATAAGGGTAAAAAAATCATTTATCACGAAGAATTGTATTGAAAAAATATGGTCAAACAAACCCAAGATTTTAATATGATTTTGTACAGTTGTATCTTAATCCTGCAACATATATTAATTTATAATTCTTATTATAATAATCTCTCGTTCCCATATATTTTGGGCTTATTTTACGAAATTTTGGGCTTATTTTACGAAAATTTAGTAAAATATAATTAATAGTTAATTAAGAAGTATATTAGTATAAATAATTATTATTTAATAAAAGTAATTATAAATTAAGATTAAAATAAGTAAATAATTTAATTATGATAAAAAAAGTAAAAAATTTAAATTTTAAATTTTAAATATGATTAAAGCGGATAATCATATTTTCAAAAAAAAGATAAAAAAACAAATTATGTGGGATGAATAGAGTATATTTTAAACACTAAAGATGTCTTCGTATATATATATTTATTTATTTATATTAAAATTTTAATATAATATAAAATATAAAAAGTAAATATTTAATTTGATTATTTTAAAAATTTCTTTATTAATAATAAAAATGCATATCAAATCCTTGAGTCAACTGGCACGTCTCTCCCATTTTCCATAAAAAATCGTTCTATCCACATGTTGTGATATGTTTTTACTCAGAAGTCATCTTATTTTAGTATTCTAGAAATAGCAAAAGTCTCTATGATTACTTATTGAAAATAATAAAATTATTTTATCAGAAGAAATACATATCTGCTTATCTATCACATTTTCACTTATTTGACACTATTTATTTTTCAAAAAATCACATTAAATACATTTTTTCTCTCACAAAATATCAAATCAAATATAACTTTTTATTTTTTCCAAACTTTCAAATTTTCAAAAACCTCCAAAAACTTAGTATCTAAACAAACCCTATGGTCTTTGTGAATTTTAATCTATTTTTTAAAAAATATCAAATCAAATAATTAATTTTTATTATTATGTTAAATTACAAAGTAACTTTATATTCAAAATATCACAATCATTTATGCAACATCAAATAATATTCAAATTTAATTTTTTTTTTTTAAAAAAGAAGATACATACCTTATTGTAAATAATGGAGATGATAAAACAACATAATTAACTATAGAACAAAATATACATATATGTATATATAACAATAGTTCATTAGCATTAGCACGTGTTCTTTTATCAAATTTCTTCGTATTTTTACTATTAATAAAAAAAAAAAAAAATTATTCTAAAATATATCAAATCAAATATTCTTTTGCTATGCCAAATTTACTTTCACTTTTCTTTTTAATCTGTTGCTAAATATACCCAATTACTAATTTTGACAAAGTTAACGAATCAATATTTAACAATTATCCTCAATTCAATACTTATTTATAACAAATGACACTACCTTTATTACATTCACTCTCCTCATTTTTTTTATTTCTAATTCACTTTCTAAAAATACGTGAGACTACCTTTTTTATTTTTATCACTTTTTAATAAAATATTTATTTTGCTTAATTTTCGCACCGGATCCAAATATTCTAATTTTTGCGGACGTAGGGAATATCTATATTTATTTTCTATAATATTGTAATATTAAAAATCAATTTTACATTCAAAATATCAAATCAATATTTATTTATATCATATTATACAATTATTTCAATTCAAATCCCAACAAAAAATTCAAATCCCTAAACAAACACACCTATAATATCCATATATAGAAAAAAGACAGGAAACCAATAGTCACTTATTTTTTATATATACTCCGTTCGTCCGCCTCTGACGTTCACATTTAACTTTTACATTATTCTACTTAATATTAAAAATATTTTTATATTTGTATAATTTTTTGTACAAATATCTTTTTATTAGTATTATAAGACACTAATGGAAATATTTTTATAATTTTTTCTTAATTTGTACTACGTTTTGATATAATAAATTAATATTAAAAAATCAACACGCAAAAAGTATATGAGATCCTTAAAACCGAACGAAAGTAGTATATATTATGATCTTAAAAAGTTTTCATCGTATACTAACCTGAATTAAATTCGTGCAAAACATATCGAGGACAAGCCCGACTAGCCGGGAGCCGGGGACGGATGGCTTGTCGATCAAATCCGACAATAATTGCTTGATCTTGTCGCCGCAACTAAGGATATAAGTGAATCGAAAGACCGGGGAGTCGGCGCCGGGGGCATTATGGTCAAAAGGCAATTCGACGAATCGGAGGCGTGGGACTGTTGCTTTGATATCGGACAACATTTTGTCGGTTTTATCGTCTCCTTTCTCCGGTAGCCTCACGATTAGGACAGTGACGGTGAGGCGATCGCCGCCGCGGGCGAGGAGGAGCTTGGCGGCCTCGACGGTGGGGATGACGTGGCTCAGCCCCGGCGAGGGGATGAACACAAGCTCCACCGGTGATTCAGACATGTTTAGTCGGAGGGATTAATTGAAATGAGAAGAAAAGAAAATGGTATAGAAATGAGTGTGATCTACCATTATTTATAGGCCTTTAGTTTAGTGTCTCTGTTTTATTTTAAAACATATTTAGGTTTCTTCATTCAATAACTTTTTGGATCCAACTTTCGATGAATATATTATAAGAAAAATATATAATATATTTGAATATATTAATTTATTTACTTCAAAAAAAATATCATAAGTAAATCGTGTTTTTAAAAAGTTGAGGAAATAATTAAAATAAAAACCAAGTGTTAAATAAACACATCTTAAATCTTCAAGCTTAGGGTGTTTTTTTCCTTTTATTTTTTTTTTTTAATCACGAAATACTCAATTTTATTATTTGTATTCTATATTTTTCAAATAAAATATATAATTTCCTCACAAATTTTTTCATTAAATATTATTTTAAAACAAAATTAAAATTAAAATTTCTAAAAAAAAAAAAACACCTTTCCGGATTGTCACCCTAAAATGTTGGGTGTGGGAAATTTTAATAATAATAACAAAAGGAAAAAGTTGACAGCAGGGCCTTTTAGTAATAGAAAATCGTGCATGGTCGCTTCATGTGGTTGGTGGGTAGGTGCAAGATTTATGCATCTAGAAACTTTAGATAATTACCGTATCAACTACCAACGATCATATCAAACATACCTATCTTATACTACTTACCTGTAAAGAAGAGCTGATTTTTTAACATCATCGTTCTACCCGAAGAACGTTGTTCTGTAAGGATCCCCGGGTCGTCGACTCCCGTTGCGGATCGATCTTCCATTGCCCGTCCACGATGAACTTTATCTACCATTGTAAAGAGTGTTTTTTCAGTTCGGACGCCGTGGAGTTGTTAATATACAAAAGCCGGCTTTTCTCACCTCATAGATGCCGGGATAGAGCCACAAGACCGTTCTCCAAAGTCGAGATGTCCTGACAATGTTCAATTCATAAGATCCGATGTTGCGATGAAAATGTTTAGATTGAGATCAAAATCGGGTAGAAGAATATCGATTACCTTGATTCGGGGAGCGTCTCCAATTCCATTCTAAGAGTGTGGCGCCAACCGTTGAAGCTCCCGGCTAACTCGACAAACTCCCCGTCTCCCGAGTATAAGATCTCGACCTAACCCATGATAGAGTAAAAACTTTAGGGGGTGCTTGTTTTGTTTTCAAATGTATTTCCGCGCAATTAATCTACAAACTAAAATAATTTTTCCTCCTCAAAAACATACACCAGACACATTTTCCATCTCAACGTATCGATCTAAAATATATTTTTCGGTCAAAATATCGTTATTTTCATTAAGAAATTTTCAAATCCAAAACACTTTTTATTTTGTTTTCAAATCTATTTTCTCATTATTTATCTACAACAAATTTCAAAGCATACATATTTCCATTCTCAAAACATCAATCTAAAATTTAATTTTCATTCAAAGTATCATTTCATTATCTAATTTTCAGTTATAAAATTTCAAATCGAAAACACTTTGCACCTCCGTTTTAGCAATATTTTTCATTCTTCATCGAAAAATCGCATCACATCTTATATAGTCGAATGATTATATTATAGATCCTATGTTGACAAGACTAAGGCATCCGAAGCTAAACCCTCGACCGAGACATAAATATTGTGAAATTTCTACTATTCAGATCAATGAATTAATCTTTCTCAAGAATTTATTATCGACGACGAGGCTGAAGATACATACCTCCTTAAGACCAGAAAGGCTTTCTTCAGCTGCCTCTAATTGATTCTCCTTCTCGGAGATAAGTTTTTTCGTGAGGCTCATCTCTGTTTCTGCTTCAGTTTGCAAAACAGACAAAGAAAGCTGAAATGTAGAGAACAAAATAACATTACACATACACCTCGGATGGAGTCTCTTTCCCTGTTCGTTTTCTTTTCTCACATAAAGGCCTCTTCCAAAGGATCTTAAAATAAGACATACGAATACAAAGACACCAAATACCATACCAGAACAATACATTTTAGAAAAATGTCGTAGCCTAGAATTACTAGAATTACCTTTTCCTTCTCGATTTGCTGCTTCAGTAGCGCAAGTTCTGTTTCTTTCTTATTCTACCGACAGAAAAGAACAAAAAAATAATGTAGCATTACCATACAGCTGATCAGGTCGAGGATAGCAATAGAATACAACCCGTGTAGTAATAATAATACCAGTAAGAATTTCAGACGCTTAACTTCAGCTTGAGTCTCCAATTCCCGAGCCTTTCATGAAAAAGAGATGTCGACCAAAGTAAGTCAGCAAAAAGTGTTATACAAAAAAATATTTTTGTAGGATTCAGAACAGCTCTAAAATTGTTCAGGCATCATCATTGTGTTTATAATGGATAACAGAAACATATGCTCTACCTCGAAATCCAAGTCCTTGTCATTATATGCTTGTTCTTCAAATGCTGGATTTTCGTTCTTTGGGAGAGAAGGAGGTGCATTTTCGGACAATGTTTCTGATTCACTGTTCTGTTCTGATCCCTCTGCATGCCCGACTTCCAAGTTACAATCTGAGTTTACAAAAACACAAAACAAAACAAAACATGGCTCAGTTTATATACATTGTCAACTCATTTTCGTCACTGTTCATCAACTGTATCTTTTTTGGATTGGGACGAAGAGGTAACTATTTTTCATTAAAAATATTACATCAAAATTTTATTTCCTATACAAAACATTACATTTATTTGCATCACATCAAATATCTATTGTTTGTTAAACTTTTTACTATTCTCAAAATTCTCCATAATTCGAAAACACTTCTAAATTATACTTAAAACACAGCCGGTGTTTCACAAGCAAGCATAACTTTTCGCAAACCACCGCACTAATTCAAGGCAACATAAGACAATGCAATCTGGTAATAAGTCGAAACTATAAGCTACTTCTTGATACTTCTACGTCTTACCTTCTATTGCCTCTAATTCGCCGCGCTCAATAAAATTGGCCGCCTTTTCGTGCAAAGACAAAGCTGCAGGTTCTATGACATGAGAGGATTCCTTGTTGAGCACAAACTGTGCGTTGGTTGTCACAGCACCATTATCGGAGCCCGCCTGAATATCAGGCAACACTTCAAGATTCTCGTCCTGACCTTTTCATACAACCAAAAGAACATCAATCATAGATTCAATGCCCATCAAAATTTTCATAATATGAAATGCAAGTAAATATATAAACCCTAAAACCCCAATTATCTTCAGATTCACCTTTAGAATCATCGGATTCCTGCAATTTTCCACCATTGTCGCTCGAGCTTGTTGCCATTGATTCATCAAGCATCTTTCTTATATACTTATAACCTCTCCGCCTGACCCTATTCGCAAGATCCTGCCTACACAGCTCGCGAATTAATCAAACACCATATGCCTAAATTTGTCCCCAATATTATTAACCAAAGATCACAGGCAATCAACATAACATTATGCATTCAACTTAAAATCATTAGTCTTCCTTTGCTAACATATCCATTACTACAGAGTACAAACAAATTTTCATGCGTGGAAACTACATTGAAAATTTTTGCAAATAATAACAAAATCATCAGCAGATGCTCAAAAAGGATATGATAATTGCAGCAAAAGATTTGTTAATTACATTCTCCGTGGTAATTGGTAAGTTGTTGAGTAAAAAATCTAATTAGTTCGTAGAATTGAAACCTGCCATGCTCAGAAAGCTCCTTCATGGAGGGCACATGATTTTCAGGGAGTCCAACAGAGGATAAGAATCTCCTAATCTCATTGAACAGATCTCCATTCTTCTTCGCGTTCCTAATACTTGGAATCAAACAAAAAACCATTCGTACCTCGTCTAGATAGATTAAATCAATAAAATAAACACTAAACCAGCTGAAATTGATACTCACCTTGGTTTCTTCGATGAAACTGCAGAAGTTCTCCAACAGCAGCGGTTGAAGTGAAAATGGGATGGTTGAGGAGGAGAAAGGGGGAGTTTATGGAAAGAAGAAGTGAGAGAAGTGAAATAGGGGAAATGACAAAGGACAGCCATGAGAGGACTGCGGAAGAAGCATCGAGGGATCTGATTACTACACTGAATTCAATTCAAAAGCATTGCTGCAGCAATTTGAGCATACGTGAATAAACTGTATTTTCCTGAATTCAGAAACTACAAATGTTCCTCTCAGATCATGGCAGCGGCCATTGTCGAGGTTCCCTTTGAGCTTCGTTTTTGCGTGCAACCCTTCTTCTGGTGATTATCTCTTCATTTATCAGGCAACAATATGATGTTATAAGAATGTAAGAGTGATGATAAAAATTTGGTAGTTAAACAAATCTACACCCTAAACCCCAAAATTACACACACAAAGCTATACACAGCAATAATTTGCTTGATTAGTTAGATCCTTACAAGCTTTGTATTCATTGATTACAAAACAAAACCTATCCCAAATTAGACGAAGTTAAACTTTTAATACGGAAAATAGTCATTAATATTGTTTTAATAGATTAATTTATGCTATAGGATAAGATTAACAATTATGAATTCCAGCTCCTTGACTACAAGCTTATAACTAACCATGGAATTGTATCCTTAAAATAAACTTGTCATTACATTGGATTGAAAAAATGATTGCATCTAACTAATCAAACATTATACTAAGTAATAAAAAGAACTACTCATCCACTCAATTCTCTTGCTAAAAATAATACACAAAAACTCACAAGTTGAACAGAAACTTCGTTGTCAATTTATATGTTGATTCCTGAAAAAACATAAAGAAAATAACCTTTTGATGCATAAGAAATTAAGGCTTCGAAGGTAGAAATGTGATCTGTCCAAGAGGAATACCCGTGAGATTTAGATGAATTGACATTTTGTCGAACAGTTTGTGAGTGTGAACCAGAAACCAAAGCTTCGGCAAAGGTTGGAATCCACCCACAACCAAAGCTCAGAAAAAAAACATCCACACAACCACCAAATCCACAACTACGCAAAGTAAAAAAGAAAAAAAACAAAACAAAACAAAACAAAAAAAATAAAACAAAAACAAACACTGGCAGTAACACATAGGAGTAACCAGCGGACAACAATGGGAGGGGGAACGGGCCAAAATCCACCTGAGAAGAAGACCGGAAACGTCGGGAAGAACTCGAAGCAGAAGACCACCGGACCGCGAGCAACCGCCAACAAAAAAAGAAAGCACGAGCAACGCGAGTACGGTCGAGAAGGAGAAAATCGTAGATGATGAAGTATGGGAATAAGGAAGGAGGTTTGTGGATTGATGAACGACGCCGAGGGCAATTGCCGGCGGCGATTGAGAACGACGGGAGAGAGGGTAGGATTAAGAAGGGCAGAAATACAACATGGACGGAGAGGCTAAGGGTGTGTTTCTCCATGTTTGGCCCAATTTACTGTGCACAGTAAAATGCGCCAAACCATATTTGTTTTAAAAAAAATTAAAATTAAAATTTTATTTAATATTTAATATAATTAAATGAAAAATATATATATAATATATATTAATTTGTAGGAAATAAAATTTTTATAATATAAATAAATAAAAATTTAAATATATATATATATTAGGTATAATATAAATTTATAATCAAATCATACAATATAAATTTTATCAATTAAATTTAATATACATTTATATTATTTTATTAATTATTCATCAGATTAATACAAATCAAAACTCCTCAAACTCCAACCAAACTCAAACACAAAAAGAAACAACAAAATTCAAATTTATTCCAAAATTCAAATAAAAATCAAACCTAACTTTCCCAAAACTCTCCTAAACAAACACACCTACTTAATTTTATAAAAGGTAATAATAATATATTTGAATCGTCATTTTTTATTTTTTTTTTTTCGGTAAAGTACACTATTATTTCAATAGGCCAAAATTAGTCTCTCTTTCTCTTCATTTTTTTATTTTTTTCGTTAATTCATTAAATATATTTTATTATTAATTTTGAAAATAAAAAGTTCAACCATTAATTATTATTAGTAATTCAATACTTATGTGTTATAATTGTCATTATTTTTCTTATATTCTCTCTCAGTTCTCTATAACTATTAATTAAGTTTTCAAAAATAATCTCAAAACTATTTTTTCTTACTATTTTTTACATTTTCAGTAAAATATTTATTTTTCTTAATTTTTGTGTCTGCTCCAATTTTTGTGTCTGCTCCAATAAACATAAGTATAATTTATTGTATATAAATTTAAAAAATAACCCCCTACTTTTTTTATGTTCTTCAAAATTGTTTTGTAATAGTTTTGTCCATAATATTAAAGGAATTATTATAATATTTTATTAAGGGTGTGTTTGTTTTTGTAAGATAATTTGAAAGGAAATTTTTTAATATGAAATATAAAAAATTGTATAAATAATATAAAAATAATAAATATGTGTGATATATTAATATTTTTTTAAAAATATGCGTGTATTTTCCGGTATGCTCCTAAACCATATAATCAGGACCCTCCTAATTATTTCATCACAATCATTAGATTGAATGCAAAATGGACAGTCAAGATGATGAGGTCGGGTAAATATGTAATTTACATTGTATAATAATTAAAATTATAAGCTTTCCGCCAACATCGATTGATCTGAAAAAATATTCAAGTGAACTCAAAATTTGGAAGAAGATGAATCAAAATTATGTCCATTCAGGTGAATACTAGCACCCCGTGATCGAAGATGAAATTAAAAAAAATCGTGAACGCAATAAGTTTTTTGTTTTATTTTTTTTCATTTATCGTGAAAGTATGATAGTGACGAATATATTTTACATCACATTTGAACTCTTTGAACATATTATACATATAAATACTTCATACTTATATTGGTTGTTCAACACGTCCGTAGTCGAGATTATTGAATGATCGCCGAAATCGATTAAAAATATAGACATTCATAATATTTTGCGATGCTTCAAATATATTTTAATTATCAAATTCAATAGTTATGCGGAAGATTTGTACGAAAAAAAGAAAGCGATCGGAATTATTTCATTGGAACAATTTTAGATTTTATTGTGTGTTAAAATAAATTTTATGTAAATATTGCCTAAAAAATAAATACCATATTTCAAAAAATGGTATGATTAATATTTTCTAAAAATAATTTCTCTAATTGATTTAGATTTGATGCATGAATAGAAGGGTGTGTTTGTTTTGGGGTTTGGATTTTGAGTTAAAATTTGAATAGTTGTATGATGCGATATAAATAGGTATTGAAGTGATGTTTTGAATGTAAAATTAATTTTTAGTATAATATAAAAATAAAAAATAAGTGTTTGATTTAATATTTTTCGAAAAAAAAATGGGATAAATAATATATTGAAAATCCAATCCCCAAACAAACACACCATTTTTGTATATTAAAAAACAAAAAAATCAAACTTACCCATTACCATTAATATTTCACGTGTAGAGACTATTGCATTATACTGCAATTATGTGACCATCATTTGAAGAAACCTATATTGTGTGTAGTTTATCATAAACATCATAATAGTATTACGATAACATCATAACTGAAAAAATCTCTACATTATTACATTTTTTATTAGTAAAATAATTCCTAAAACAATCATTATAATGTTTAATCAGTGGTTCTGGAAATCAAAATCAAAATTGATTTTATCATATAAAGTAATAAGTACCAAATCATATCAAAATTTAGAAATATTGATTTACTTACAATTCAATTTTGTTTCTGTATAAAATAGAGACAATATCCAAAAAAATTGGAGAATTGATACGAGCTTTAAATCAAATCATATTCCCCTTTTTTCTTTTTTCTTTTTTTTCATCATCTTAACATAAAAAAATCTTATAGAATAAATATCACGTCATATGTTGGAAAAAAATGGTTAGTATTTACTTATATAATATTTATGCAGAATTGACATCATAATTTCATATTACGTGAAGCACTTCATAGTACTATGTGTAGTATAATTTATAATATCATGTATCATTTACTTCTCCCAGATGATAATTACTGGACGAATGCTTTGGTCATTGACAAATGAGTTTTTTCAGATGTAAAATTTGAAAGGAGGGGCGGGCGGATAGACGACGGGAGGCGAACGGCGGCGACGGGTGTGTGGTAAACGGCGGTGTAGCTGAGAATCGCGTGGGAAATTTTCCCTTCGACGGGATTACGGCTTAGGTAATTTTTTTGGGAGAATGGGGAAGTTTGCGTCGAGGGTTAATTAAATTAAACTTTTGACATCATTACTTAAGAAAAATATTACTGTAAATATTATATCATATCACATCACACATATATATGTGTGATATCATATTATTAAACTTTTGACATCATATTATTATACTGTAAATATTATATCATATCACACATATATATATATTAAATTGTTATATATCGTTGATTATGGAAAATATATGGGATTTGTTAAAAAAAAATAGGAAAAATATTTATTTAAGCAATATTCTAAATTTAATACATAGAAGATTAGTGCAAGAATGTGAATATTTAAGGTTAAATTTAATTAATTGACAGATTTGTATCTTAGAAAATAAAATAAAAAAATCAATTTACTAATCATAATGAACATTTCATATATTGAAAACGTTGCATCAATTTTATTTTATGATCATGTGAACATCATTTTAAGATATCATACATTGTATTTATATTGCAATAAAATATTATTAAAGTGTTGCAATCATATTATAGTTTACTTTAAAACATCATAATATTGTCATGATGACATCATAAGAGACAGGTAATACATCATTATTTTTTCGAATGTTTTTTATCTAGAAAAATCTTATTTGCATATTTTTCTAATTTATGTGGATTAATATTTTCAAATATAATATATCTAGTTAACGTATTTAATTTTTTCTTAATTAACCGTCTTTTAATTAGTTTTCTTAAATCCATAAAATACCATCAATAAATATCAATAATTGGATTACTATACAAAATGATCCGACGACTATGGTGCATTAGGACTATCTGAATATTGTACAAGGTTAGGAGACATCAACAGTCATGTTTTTAACCGAGAGCATAACCAATTAAATAATTCATTTATTATACAATAAAAAATTAAATGAATACATCAGAACGAATTGTTTTTATAGTGATTGTGTGATATAATTTCTTAGGTTTAATTTAGTAATTTAATTAATGAAGAGGTGATGCATTAACAAAACAATTGCTTTAAAGAAAGTTCATAATGAGTTAGATTATGATTTGTCTATCAATGTGTTGATGTATGTTTTCAACAAAAATAAAGTAAAATTCAAAGATATAGAAAATATCCTTAAACTTGATTAATTAGTGTCTGAGATTAGGAATCTCTAAACACTGTACGGTACAGAAAATAAACTGGAAAATAAAAGACTGAAATTTAAAGTGGTGATCCCCAAATCTGACTTTGCTTTGTTGAAGTTGATTGAAGATACCTTGCCAAATGATGATTCAAACCTTTAAATATTCTCTGGGAAACCGTACTGAAAGCCGTCACCCGAACGGTTACAATGTCTCCTTCCCAACCGTCTTCCAACCCTTTTCATGCTGACACGTGTCCTCAGCAGACCAAAATTATCCTTATATTTCACTCTTTGAGCCGACCACAGACCTTCCGCTCTTTTGGTCCGACTTCGTCCTTCGCCCGACCTGCTTCTTCGCCCGACCTCACTTGGGCCGACCTCCGCATCAGCCGCCCTCCGTCTTCGACCGAAGACCTCCGCGTCTGTCCGTACCTCTTCCTTGCCCGACCTTCCCCTTAACAGACCTCCGCGTCTGCCCGACTTCGGTCTGGATTTGGATCAATTCTTGAGATCTTAACTTTCTTCCTTTTCCCGACCTGCGGACTTCCCGTCCTGATGACTTTCCGTCTTAAGGACCTACCGACCTGAGATCCTTCCGACCTGAGGTCTTTCCAACTTGAGGACCTCCCGACTTGAAGACCTTCCGACCTGAGGTCTTTCCGTCTTGAGGACCTACCGACCTGAGATCCTTCCGACCTGAGGTCTTTCCATCTTGAGGACCTACCGACTTGAAGACCTTCCGACCTGAGGTCTTTCCGCCCTGAGTACCTTCCGTCTTGAGGACCTTCCGTCTTGAGGACCTTCCGACTTGAAGACCTTCCGACCTGAGGTCTTTCCGCCCTGAGGACCTACCGTCTTGAGGACCTTCCGTCTTGAGGACCTTCCGTCTTGAGGACCTACCGACCTGAGGACCTTCCGACCTGAGGACCTTCCGACCTGAGGACCTACCGACCTGAGGACCTTCCGACCTGAGGACTTTCCGTCCTGAGGACCTTCCGTCTTGTATTTTCCTTAGAAATAAATCTATTTTCCTTGATTTCCTCACGGTGTCCTTTAGCCAG